TTTCCCAAATCTTTAATACAGTAATGAAAATAATCCTGTAGATATAAGGCCTATTTTAGGACCATGTAGATTTTCTGTGACCTTTTCATTTCTAATGTGAAAAGTTCTTCTTATCACTAATCTAATGTGACAAAAAAGATTACTTTAAATAAAGTGCAGTTGGAAGTATAGTGGTGTATGTTGTTAAAGGGGTCATATGATGCGATTTTAATTTTTCCTTTCTCTTTGGAGTGTTACAAGCCCTTGGTATTACATTTAAAATGTAATAATTATATGATTTATATATTAGATTTACAGTACAATAATGTAAATTCTGGGGGTAATGTGTTAAATTATCATGAACAATGTAGTATTGCAGAAAATCTTATTGATTTGTTTTTTATGCAAAATGTATTGACCAATTTGTTTTTGTTATTTGGGGTGAAATGTAATCTGGGCTTTTCTTTGTGACATTCAACCTTTTATCTCTTTGTTTTATTCAGAAAGAAGTATTAGAAGATCTTCATGCGGAGAATAGTAAGCTGGCTGGACTTGTGTGTAAACTGAGAGCCTTTAACCACTGGAGGCTGGTGATCGCTCAAGAGAAACTACAAAAAGAGCTGCTGCAGTGGAAACTGGTATTAATCACATGTGTTTAATAATACCAGGCTTCGGCTAGCCTCTCCTCCTCTTCTTTTGCCCTTTAGTAACTCTGAATGTTGCTCCTGTGTGTCCAGAATGAGGTGTCGTGTAAAACTGAAGCTCTTAAAGTGAAGATGATCTCGGAGCAGAAGGAGATTGGTCTAAAACAAGAGCTCGATGCTGTGCAGGAGGCCATGCTGCAGTGTAAGAGCAAATATGAGCACATCCAGAGACAGATCATTCAGCAGGTACAACACTCTCAGCCTTATCATCTTTATATCCATAATTGGGCTTTGCTGTGTGCAAATTGAGCCATCATAAAGACAGGAAGTACCTGAAATATATACACTGCTTCCAGACTGAATCTTATGATCTTAGTCCAGGGGTGTAAAAAGTATTGAAAATTTGTACTTAAGTTAAAATGCAGATACTCTATCAAAAATGTTACTTAATTAAAAGTCAAAGTACCTATTAAAAAAAAAAAAAGTGAAAGTAAGAAGGTATTCACATTTAATTGTACTTTTAAATTTTAAATTGTGCTTTTTAATGTGACTCTTGAAAACAAGAGGCAGTAGAGATTTCGATGCAAAAACTTTTTAAAGAAACCTGTCAAAAAAATCATCGTTTTCTCACTATTGTGAGTGACTATGTAAAACTCTAGGACACTGCAGACGTTAAAGTGAACCAGTATACTGAAACCTGTTACCTTTCAGCTATAATTTTTAGTTGATGGTTTTGCAATGACATTTTTTTTTTATATAGGCCTAGTGATTGTTAGACTAAGCAGCAAGACTAATCATGAACCATGTTTACCATCCTTAAAGGGATAGTTCACCCAAAAATTAAAATTCTGTCATCATTTACTCACCCTCATGTCGTTCCAAACCTGTATGAGTTGCTTTCTTATGTTGAACATAAAAGAAGATATTTTGAAGATTGCTGGTAATCAAACAGTTGGTGGTTGCCATTGACTTCCATAGTATTTTTTTTCCTACTATGGAAGTCAATGATTTATTACCAGCAATCTTCAAAATATCTTCTTTTATGTTCAACATAAGAAAGCAACTCATACAGGTTTGGAACGACATGAGGGTGAGTAAATGATGACAGAATTTTCATTTTTGGGTGAACTATCCCTTTAAGTTCATCCATCTGCAGCTATGGTTATTATAAAAAACTGTAAGGAATAGTTCACCCCAAAATGAACATTTTGTCAACATTTACTCACTCTTGTCACATTAGAATAAATAAAAATACTATTTTTATTTTTAAATACTATATATAATAATAAAGAAATTACATGTACATGAAAATATAGTTAACTAAGTTTAAACTAAAACAATAAAAAAACATTTTGTTACTTGAAATAAATGTTAACTGAAACAAAATAAAATATAAAAACATACTTATTTTATTTCAGCTAGTTGCCAAGGCATCAGTTCCCATTTTAATTTAGTTTAACTTTATGCACTAAAAAACTGAAACTAACACTGAAATCAAATTTAAAACTGTATAGACATATAAAAAAAAACTACTAAAACTAATAAAAAATTACAAAAACAAACAACAAAATTACTAAAACTTTAAATGTAAAATGAAAACAGAAAATATAAAAACTAAAACGAATTAAAATATTAATAAAATCCATAATAGGATCTCACTGATACCAAAATAACACTGAGTGTAATGGACTAAAACTTATTATTTTTACCTTGTAAATGTAAAAGTACAAGTATTCAGTTATAACAGAATTCAAATAAAGTACAGATCCCCCAACATAATACTTTAGAATAGTAGTCAAATACACTTTACACCTCAGTCTCAGAAGCTGCAGGACATGGAGCATCGCTCCACACGAGACACACAGAGCCGACAGGAGCTGGAGGTGCTGCGCATGCAGAGTCTGGAGCAGCTGCAGGAAGACATGGAGGACAGACAGAGTCAACTCAGGGCTCTGAGCGCACAGCTCGAGAAAAACAGCAAAGAGACGGAGCTACGGCAACAACGCAGCCACAAGCAAATCAAACACGTGAGTCTGAACTGCAGGCTTTATGATGATTATTATAAATGTTAAGTTAAGACTCTACAGGCAAACCCACTGTTTTTTTTTCATGCACTGCTGAGTTTTGAGATTTTGGGGTAATCTGCTTCCCTAGCGTGTCTTCTTTTAGACTAGTAGAAAACACATTTAAAATACACATTTAAGTGTTTTTTTTTTTAATCACACTTTTTTTTTTTTTTTTGCTTCAGTAGATTTCCATTACAATGCATATCTTTAAAGGCCATTTTCTCTCCATTTCAGCAGCACTTACACCAAACAGTTTTGTTCTTATCTATATTCTGAAGGTTTTTATAGAGGTTTTTTTTCTTATATTATTCAGCTGATCTATACAACATTTTATTCCTAAAAACACGGTGAAAATGTATTTTTGTTCTGGCTGGGCACCGCAGCAAAAGTGACTGCCCACTGCTCAGGGTGTGTGTTCACAGTGTGTGTGTTCACTGCTGTGTGTGTGCACTTGGATGGGATAAATGCAGAGCATAAATTCCGAGTATGGGACACCATACTTGGCCACACGTCACGTCACATATTTAACAAGAATTTTGAACCTGGTTTTTATCCAATATTCCGATTTATATTCTGGAAATGTTTGCAAATTATTGCATTTTTAAATTTAGATAATGCCTCATTTGCATATTTAAACATAATATTTCAGAAACTTGTAATACATAACAATTGTCTTAATGTACTGGGATTAATCAACTGGGGGAAGTTTAGAGGTATCTGTTAGTGATATCAATTTTTACCATATCCACCTGTAGTGTTTTGCCATAAACTTCAACATCAGACAATAAAAACAAACTTTTTAAAATATTGTGAAAGTCTTAATTGTAAAAGTTCAAACAGTAAAGCACAACGCTAACAACACCAAGGTCATGGGTTCAATTCTTGAACTGATTAAATGTATACCTTTACTGCAATATAACTTGGCTATGGTTAAAAGCATCTGTCACATGCATAAATGTAAAGTATCTTGTATTTTGAAGGTGAGAGGTAAGCTTCATCAGGAGCGGAGCCTGAAACTAGAAGCGTTCCAGCAGGTGGACACACTACAAAGTCAGATCCACAGTTTTGAGTCAGCATTGTGTAAATCTACATTTCCTTCAGGTGCTCACAATACTGATTTCCTTTTACCTTTTTTAGCATTAAGGAAACATTTTTATTCATATCACTCACTTTTTTCATGTTTAAGGACGCCAAAGCTCCTCCTCAAGAAGGCTACATTTAAGAAATGCATCGGCAGGTAAATCACTCAGTCGTTTTCTCTGTCTTTTTGCTTCTAAACTTGACTTGTACACCTCTGTGGCTTGTTGTATTGCAGGTTTGCTCAGGAACAACTCGGTTATGTCTTTTACAAACAGTAGCTTTATAAACACAACTGATGACCTCAGTACTGAAATGGGTTGGAGAGAGTCATGGACACCTCTGGACAGACCCAAAACAGTGAGTTATTTGATTCTGTAGTAAGAGTCATTTAACATGCCAAGCATTACAGGAATAGTCCAACCAAAAATACTCGAAGTCTAAAAAATACTAAAAGTCTGATCATAGCACAAAGAACATGAATTATGTGGTGTGAATTTAAATATCTCTTCCAACATTCCATTGTTCTATTTCACAGAACTCCAATCGTCTTCGTCTGGACATTTCAGAGGCGCTGTTACCCAGTCTTCCTGATGGAAACGCTTCTTCTAACCACCTGACATACCAGAATCTTAGATTGGGTCACAAGTAAATGACCCTAACCGCACTAATTAATACCTTTTGATTTATTTCAGACATTTGAACATTTTTACTTGTGCCCAAACAACCCTAACCTAAACCTGCACTAACCTGAATGACCCAGACAGGTCTGATTATTTGTGCATTAATTAAAACTTAATGTTTACCATTAAGGGGTGAATCTGATGCATATGCATGTCACATTTTCACTCAAAAATCAAAATAATTTTTTTTTAGGCCCATGAAGATTGTTTGCATTTTCCCCCAAACTATCATTACTGTACTGATTTTGGAGCAGGACTATCTTATATCTGACCAATGCCTTACCAGGCAACTAAAAGTAAACTAACTAAAACCATTAAAGAAAACATTTTCATTACTTGAAATACAACAAACATTAACTGAAATAAAATAAACTATAAAATATCTTATTTTCATTTAATTTAACTTGTACTAAAATAACTAAAAAAACACTGAAATAAAAGTTAATAAAAAGCATATATACATATTTAAAAAAACTAATATAAATGACAAAAACATCAAAATTAATAACACTGCTCAGTACTGCAAAGTCACATTTTAAATGCAATGTTCAAACATTTACATTAGAATTTTTCTGTAATTTTATAAATAAAAATAATTACGTGTGCAATAGTAATTTTTTTACAGTAAAAAAACAATGATTAATATGTCTTGTTTTTTTGCATTACAGAAATGAGAAATTAACTTAATTATCGCCCTATATTAAACCTTCCTTTTCTTGCAAAAATCTTAGAACATATTATGGCCTTGCAGCTACACAATCACCTTACAATAAATAATCTTTTTGAGCCCCTTCAGTCTGGCTTTCGAAAATTTCATAGTACTGAGACAGTCTTGATCAAGGTCACCAATGACCTGTTAATAGCCTCAGATTCTGGTTCTCTCTCCATTCTTCTCCTTGATCTTAGTGCCACTTTTGATACTGTCAATCACAATCTCTTACTTAACCGTCTTGAAACTGTTTTTAGTGTTTCTGAGATGGTTTTAACGTGGATTAGATCACATCTCTCTGATCATCGACATTTTGTCTGCATGAGTGGTCTGTCATCACTACTGGTGTTCCCCAGGGTTCAATTTTAGGCCCCTTACTTTTTAGCATTTCTATATTTCCCCTTGGATTGCTTTTAAGATCACTTGGGCTTAATTATTTTTAATGCTGACAACACTCAGATTTATATTCACTCTAAGCCTGGTCAAAACGTGGATGTTTCTTTCTTATCACATTGTATTTCTGAGATAAAAGCATGGATGTCCCAAAACGTAATAATGAAAAAACTGAGGTCTTGCTTGTTGGCACTTCTTATCAGCTTCGTAAAAGCTGGCTCACTAATTTAAATTGTAGATGGCTCTGTTTTGAAGTTACAAACTAAATTAAAAACTTTAGGAGTTATATTTGATTCAAGCCTGTCTTTTGTCCAACATGTGAAATACACTAAGAACTCCTTTTTTCATCTCAGAAATATTGCTAGACTCCGTCCTATGCTATCCCTTTCTGTGACTGAAAGGCTTATTAATACTTTCGTATTTTCCCGCATAGACTACTGTAATGCACTTCTTGCTGGCGTTTACGATCTGTAGGGGACAGGGCTTTCTCATCCTAGACTTTGGAATGCACTCCCTTCTTATATAAGAGACACACAGAATCTAAGTACTTTTAAATCTTACTTAAAAACTCATTTTTCAGGTTAGCTTTGTCTTGACTGTCCTAAATGTTATATTCTAGTATGTTCTTTTAATTTGTGTTGTATTTTTATCTGTGTTTTATTATGTAAAGTGCTTTAAGAAGCTGCTTTAAAGGCGCTATATAAAAATAAAGATTATTATAGAATAATTTTTGCATTATGGCAATGAGCACTGGTTGGAAAAACTTATGCCACTGAGTCAAATATCCAGTGACATGCTGGACAGTAACACTTAAATAAATTGTTTTTTGGACAAATAGTTTGGAGTCGCATTTATGTGAACCATTTATTGTCTTTAGTCTCATTAACAAGTACAAAAACAAACGAAGAATGGCTATGCTTCATGATCTGTATCGAAGTCATTTAAAAAACAAAAAAGATGTTTCTGCTTGTTCTCAATTAATCAGCTTGACTGATTAAAATATAACCATTTACAACAAAAGAGAATAAGTATCAGCATTGTTTTTTTTTCACAGACTCGTTCATAATGCTGATGCTTGTTCTCTTTTGTTGAATTTGAACAAGTACAGAAAACAAATTAATAATGGCGATTAGGGCTGCACAATTAATCAAATTTCTAATCGCGATTACAATTATGGATGCCACAATTACGTAATCGTTCAAAGTCCACTTATGTTATTCTGTGTGCTTAAGATGCGTTTTTTTCTTTCTACATGTTATCTTAAGGGTTTTTCCCATTATTTTAATTTTAGTTTTAGTATAACATTATAATACCATTCATATTTGTACTTTTTTATAATTTAAAGAAGAAACCAATCCGATGTATAGTTGACATTTGAGGCTTAATACTATAGAAAAGCACTAAAAGTTTTTCAGTTAGTGTTTTCAGCTTGTTTATTTTCATTTAAAAAATACGGCATGCAGTTGCATCAAACTATGGTATAAACATCATTGATGCCACATGACGCCTCCTGGCACTGGGGTCAGAGAAGGTCTTATCGCAGATGTTGCAGACGTATGGCTTCTCTCCTCTGGATGGGGAAAGATCATTTCATGACATGGTGAGTAGGGTAAAAAAATGTAATGAACAGTTACCATAATTTCAACTCTTACCATAATTCACACCACAATTCCCCGGTTAATTGATTGCATTTGCAATTTTTTGTATTACAAGTTTTATGAAATGTTACGTTTAAATACGCAAATTATGCATTATCTTATTAAATATGCACTAATGTGCATACATTTCCAGAACTGAGATCTGTACATTAGATAAAGCCAAGTTCAAAATGTTTGTTTCATTTTGTTGACATATAAGAGTTAAAGGTTTTTACAGAGGGGATTTTGAATATCTGTTTATCAGAAAATACTGTCAAAGGCAAACTCACTATGTTTTAGGAATAAAATGTATAAAATCAGACAAATGATATACGAATAAACCCCTCTGTAAAAACCTCCAGAATAGAAGTAAACCTGTAAAGTTTAGTGTATATAAGTGATCTTGAAGTGACGAAAAAACTCATTTTGAGGAAACAGCCTTTAAAGATACTTATTGTAATTGAAATCTATTGATGCAAATAGATAAAGTACAATAAAATAAACACTTGAATGTATTTTGGATGTTTTCTTTCCACTCTGAAACAACACATTACGAAAAGCCAAACAGCCAAATCTCAAAACTAACTAGTGCATAAATAACAATGACAGTATTTTCTGATTTTTTTAAAGAATTTTGTACCTGGTTTTATCCAATGTTGGAATTTCTGCTCTGGAATTGTATGCAAATGAGTGCACATTTAATTAGACAATACCTCCTTTGCATATATAAAAATAACATCAGAAAACTAATACAAAAATGTTTGCAATTCTTAATATACTCACTCAAATGGGGAAGTATGGTGATATCTGTTACATTACATTTATCTGTTACATTACATTTTTACTAGGGATGCACGATATTATCGGACCAATATCGGAATCGGCCGATAATGGCTTTAAATGTAAATATCGGCATCAGCCCGATATGAAAAATTATGCCGATATGTCTTGCCGATAAGAGGAATAGGTTAACTCACATGTGCTCAGGGTGTGCTAGCGATTAGATCACGTCAGCAGTGTAACTCATTTTTGAAGCAAAGTTTTGCCTGAATGATGATTAGATTCACTGTTTTGGATCGCTGCATTTAAACTGTACAGAATGAAGCCTTAGGTGTGTGATAGTAATAGCATGTGCAGCGGCAGCCTCCCCCGGGTCCTAATGCCCGTCACAAACATGACAGTTGTAAATTAAATAATTTTATATATACTGATTTATTCATTAATGTGTAATATGTTATATTTTTTAAACAAATTATGAGCTCTAAAAAATTTTCAGAATTTTTACAACTCTTTTTCTTTAGACCATCTACAAATGTTAATTCTTAAAATAAAATGTTAAGGTTACTACTGCATCTTTCTGAAAAAAAAAAAAAGTGTTGTTTCCAAACAAAAGGAAATATATCGGTATCGCCATCAGCCAAAAGAGTTGAAAAATATCGGCATATCGGATATCGGCAAAAATCCAATATCGTGCATCCCTAATTTTTACCCTATTCACCTGTAGTGTCTTAATGTGCAAATGAACTTATGTTGGTTTCTGACCTGTGTATCATGATGTGTGTCTGTAGTGTGCTCTTGGCTGTGAAACACTTCCCACAGATCTCACATGTGAACGGCTTCTCACCTGCAGCAATAAAGTGGGGTTTATACAGCACAGTAGTATGCAAGTTGCAATGCAGTAAATGTGATGTGTTTATTACCAGTATGAGTTCTCAGGTGCTTCTTCAGTTGAGCTGCATCCATAAATTTATGATGGCATTGTGCACACTCAGGTAATGCTTTTCCTGTGTGAACACGGTAATGACTTTTCAGCTGCCGCTTCTGACTGAAGCTTTTCCCACACTTGTCACAACTGAAAGATTTATTCTCTGTGGAAAGACGACATCAGATAGTACAGTATTTTCAGTTTTTTTTAACATGCACCATGGTGTTTTGGACATTTACCGTGATAATACCAATGTTTGGGGCTGGTAACTTTTTTTTTTTTTTTTTAAGTAGTTTTTCTAACAATGTAAAAGTCTTTATTGTCACTTTTGATCAATTTAATGCATCCTTGCTGAATAAAAGTATAATCTTACTGACCCCATACATTTGAATGGTCGTATTATGAGCGGTATATCGCAGTGGTTTGGTATATTTGTGTTACCTGCGTGTAGGTTCATGTGCTCCAGTAGCGAGTGTTTCGTGGACAGCGCTTTGGAACATATGGTGCAGATGAAGGGCTTTTCTCCCGTGTGCATGCGCTGATGAACCAAAAGAGTGTGTTTCTGGGTGAAACCCTTCCCACAAACACTGCATCTGAATGGTTTTTCACCTACATGAAAGGAAAGTGTAATTTTACATTAAGTATTTAATGAATCTTAATAATCTCTGCTGAAATGCTTGAATATAATTAACAGAATCAGTGTTATTATAGTTCATTCAAACTAAAACTAAAACCATTAAAAACATTTTCGTTACTTGAAATAAATTCAACATTAACTGAAATAAAACTTATTTTATTTAATCTAGTTACCAAGGCAACATTTCTCATTTTGGTTATGTTTAACTTTAAGTACTAAAATAACGAAAATCAATAAAATTAATAAAAACAATAGACTTTTTTTTTTTATTACAAAAATACTAAAACTTTAAGTACAAACAGTAAATACAAAAAATAAAATATAATTTAAAATATTAACAAAATAATAGGGTATATTAATGATACTAAAATAACATTGAAATAGCTTTTTCACTTTTTCAACTTCAGTTAGTCTGTAATGTTGCTGTTTGAGCATAAAAAAGATCTGCAAAGTTACAAAGCTCAAAGTCCAATTCAAAAGGAGATATTTTATTTAACACAGAAACAGGGTTATTATTATCATAAACTAAAACTAAAAACAAGAAATTTTTTTAACATCAACTAACATAAAATTTAAGAAAGCATAAACTTATTTTATTTCAGCTAGTTGCTGAGGCAACATTTCTCATTTTCGTTTAAAGTTGAAGTACTATAATAACTAAACCTAAAGCTACTAAATAAAATTCATAAAAACACAGACATAAACTAATAGACATATTAAAAAATACAAAAACACAACAAAATTACTACATTGCGAAAACAGAATATATAAAAATTAAATCTAATTCAAAATATCAATGATACTACATGTAAAAGTGAACAGAATACATACATGCTAGATTTAATTCCGTTTAGTGTGTAATGCAAACAAGATTTTGTTGAATTTTATTTCTGTTTGTGTTTTTCATTTGCATGTTCCCTCATTACTTTTCAGTCGATTGTATAGAATAATAAAAACGGAGCTCTACCTGTGTGAGTGCGTTGATGTATCTTCAGAAACAGATGGTTTTTAAAAACCTTCCCACACTGGTCACACCTGGCCTCTGTGTCTGGGTACTTCCTCTTGCGTCCTCTCTTCCCCGGCTCCTTGCGCTCCAAGAGCTCGTCTCCTAACCTGTATCCCTTCAGCTTGACAGGCCGCTTTATTTTGCGCTTGCTGTGACGAGGTCTGTCCTCTCTGGGGTTATAGTCGCTGTCGCTGAAGTCTCTCGGTGGGGAAGTGGGATCTAAGAGGGGTTCTGTGGACTCAGAGGTACTTTGTGCTGGTAAACCAGTGTCTGGATCCTCTTTTTGGCTTGAATCCTGAGTGTGAAGGCTCTTTTTCGGCCGCCCTCTTTTACGCTTTGTCTGTATGCATTCATCAACACTGTCTCCCTCGGCAGACATCACATTTTCAGCCGTTGAACTGTCCTTTTGAAGGTCCTCGTGGGCTTTGAGCAAATCTCGGATGTCCAGAAACCGCGCCATGTCAAGCAGCTGCTCAGAGCTGCTCTCGTCCACAGACACATTTGCGCTGTAGATAAACTCGAGCACGGCCGAGAAGGTTTTCGCAGCCATGCCATCCAGCTTGTACACCGACTGGCTTACCTGATCTTCAGCGGTGAACATTAATGAGAAATACTCACTGCTCGCTGCCAAAAGAGCCTTGTGTGCCTTGAAGTGCACGTCTTCTACGATGAGGGTTATGTCACAGAGCAGTTCCCTTCTTCTGAGCTTGTCAAATTCATGCAGGATTGTGTCCTTGTGTGTTTTTGAATGCAGGGCGAGAACAGATGAGGCTGGTGGTTGAGACATGATGCTGTTACAGTGAGCATGAATCTAAAAAGGAAAAAGTTGAAACAGTCTATTAAGTTTGAAATAGAGCTCTCAGCTGGTTTTGCTTTTTGAACCTAGATGGGTATCAAGTGGCGAACAACACAACACCAAACCCATATTTAATGTATTCTGGGTCATATTTTCTTTTACTTTGAATAGTCTTGTTCATGGTTTTTGAGGATGAAGGCATGTCACACAATGAGTCTAATTTGACTGGCTTCTACAAAGTAAAACAAAGGATCTGGGAAGCATTTTCTCCTCCCCCTATATAAGCCTGTTTACTATATGCAAATCCAACTATGCACACACTTGTGAAAAAGAAGTGTGCTTAATTGAATTGAATATGCACTTTTAGTGTACCTTAAATCTTAGAAGTATTTTTTTTTTTTTAAAACCTGTCCTTACAGACAATATTATGCTAATGAAATAACAGGCCACTTAAAGGGATAGTTCACCCAAAAAAAAAAAAAAAAAATCTGTCATCTTTTACTCACCCAAGTTGTTCCAAACCTCTGAGTTTTTCGTCTTCTGTTGAACACAAAAGAAGATATTTTGAACAACTATGGAAGTCAATGGGGACCAGAAACTGTTTGGTTATACCAACATTCTTCAGAATATCTTTTTTGTGTTCTTTTATTTTAAATCATCATGTTAATCTTTCGTTGTGCTTGAAAGTACACTTACTTTGATGTTGACTAACATACTAAAGCACATAAGTTAATGTTTTAAATTATATAAATTACAACTTTATCATTAAAAAAGTGTAATTAGATATATTTAAATACATGACAACAGAAATTACATTGAAGTATATTTTAGTTTACCATAAATGCTTGTCAGCACATTCAGCAGTACACTTTAACCATATTTCAAAAACAATAAAATTATGAAATTACATAAGAAGATATATTTAAGTGGGCTTAAAAGCTCTAAATTTTAATACATTTTCATTTAATTTCTATCAACATGCAATTAAGTGTCTGAAACCTTTATTACATTCAGTTCCCATCATAAGTAAAGTATGCTAAAGTGTAGTGTTTTCACACATTGTTACATTTCTATTTAGATCTGTTTCCCCCTCCTGTCATTGACCCATCAGAACAGACCAACAACACTTTTGGGTTGTGACAAACCATGCATCATTAAAAAAAATAAAAATTATTTGAAGTACCATGTAAATACCATGGTACAGTAATATGATAATCATTCAGAACCAATGTTATTTCCATATTTGGACCCAAACCGCTTTATAAGCCAATATATATTTGATAAATTAGTTCCTCTGAAACATTTTACAGAAATATCAGTAAATGCATGCATGCTACAATCATACGACACAACTGTGCACGCAACCTGAGCTGTAAACACAGTCTAGTACAGTGCAGATCGTGTTCTGACTGCATCACAAACTGTGTTATGCGCTCAGCAGGTCAAAGACAAGCGCCTGTGAATCTTCATGTAGGCTATATCTACAGTATGTCAAAGGTCTTTGAACACAGTAATAAATGAATAAACTGCTTTAAGCCCAGCGCCATGTGTAGCAACAAAGAGCTGCTTCGCTTCCCCTTCTAAAACACTCTCCTATCGCTAAAAGACTAGCGCTGATTTGAAAATTACAACATTTAATCTGCGAAACACACGTCAAAGAATAATCGCACTACTGTTTGAGGACTATAATATACGATTAAGCTTTCAGGACCTCACCTTAAAGGAACCGTTTCAGACTGGCATATCTCGCGAGAATTGCCTTCCGTGATTTCAGTAAACATCACAGAAACGAGCAGATAGAAAGGCAAGCACAGAGTACCAAAACGGGCGGGGCGTGTATTTACAGCCATGATTTGTCTGAATACTAATTATTTCTGTTTTGATTATTTTATATGTTTTTTTAGTCAACCACTTTCAAAGTTTCTATTATTATTATTATTATTTAGACGGCGTTGTCACATGGTAACCATAGGCGCTATTGGATAACAGATTTTATGTAATAATATTATATAAATTGTATATTTTTTAGTTTGTATATTTTTACAGTCTATGGATTGTAAGCAGAGATGCGCCCCCAGGCGGAACCACATTTGTCACCCAGTGTAGTGTTTGCAAACAGCGCCACTGTTGTGTCTTTTTTTATAACTGAGGGGATAGAATTACTGTACTGAACATAAAGAATATTTGTCCGGTACCTTCTAAACCATTTATTGCACACTAATATTTAACTATTAGCAAGTGCACACCCGCCATAAATAGCTTCAATGTTATGTGTACAAATAAAAGCTTACCACGTGTGTGTGTGTTCAGTTTCTCCCTCTGATAAATTGATTTACCCATTAAGTGAGGCAGTAATTGAGAGTATGAACTACTATAATTCACTATGATGAAACACAAGAATAGTGAGGTTTTTATTTTATTTTACAATCCGACACGGACAGACGGTGAAACATCGTTTGTAATCGATCACGTGACTCTGATACTGAGCAGTGTTGCCAGGTCCTTGGTTTTCCCGCGCAATCGGGCTACTTTAACACTGTTGCCGCGGGTTGAAGCGACCCCAATAACGTGATATTTAGACCCTGGAATTCGAATTTTACAAGGGGAACAACGCCAAAAAACCCCCCGTGTATTTTACCCCCCGGATTTGGCTGGTTTTGGGGAGCCATTTTAAGGAGGTAATGTTGTGAAAACCTGGCAACCCTGATACTGAGCTTCATTGGAGCATGTTTTGCCTGCTCGAACAGGTGCCTTGAAGCTTCAGTGTCATACTTAACATTACTAATGTTGACCTATATTCATCAGTTTGTGCCGTAATCGAGCACAAAGCGAATTAATGATTAATGTGCGTCAGTGATAATTCACAGACAGAGTGTTTGTTCATGCAGGTCTCAGTAGGCTGGAGGTAAGTAAGCGTGTAAACCAAATGTGCATCTGCTTGAACATTCTGTAAATTGTATTTTAAATACTGCAGTACTATCTGGCATAGTACAAATAAACCTTCGTTCTACTACAGTAACAAATTATACTAATTATGGCATTTGTACAATGCTGCAAACATACTAAACAGTCTGTATTGAGGCGATGTACTTTATTATTATTACTGCTACAGTATGGCAGGTGTAGGCATGATTACTTGCACGATTTCAAAATGTTAAGCTACCGTGGTTGCTGCATGAAATATGCTTTATTTTTATTATATTGACTAGTATGACTGTTTCAAACAAAGTAGGCCTATATATAGCATAGCATAACCCAGGAACACATACAGGTGCATCTCAATAAATTAGAATGTAGTGGAAAATTTAATTTATTTCAGTAATTCAACTCAAATTGTGAAACTTGTGTATTAAATAAATTCAATGCACACAGGCTGAAGTAGTTTAAGTCTTTGGTTCTTTTAATTGTGATGATTTTGGCTCACATTTAACAAAAACCCACCAATTCACTATCTCAACAAATTAGAATGTTCTAAGAACTTATTGCTAATGTTTCCATTAAGTTAAGAAAACGTTATATCTGAATGTTATCTGAACAATCAAAACGTCCATTTAAAAAAAAATATATATATTTTTTAAGTGAACCTTTCATTTTCATTATTTTGCAAACATTATGAAAATGTTCATTTTGAATGTTCTCTAAACCATCTTAGACCAACATCCAACTAAATTGTTTCAGAAAAATGTTCCATAAAAATGTACAAATAATATTTTTGCTAATGTGTTGAGAAAATTATTCGTAACTTTAGACAAAACAGCAAAAGAACACTAGCCAAAGTTCTGAGAACATTCTCTGTTAGCTGGATAAGTAGTGCATCTGTCTGTTGTTTATTGTCTTTGTGCCAACAACGTAAATAAACAAATTCAGCTACAAACTATGACTTTATGGTTGTCTTGCATGGTTTTTAAAGGTCTCTGTATTGTGTGAAGGGGATGATTTTATGTTTGTTAGCTTTGTAAAACAATAGATTTAATTATCTTTTATAGATCGTTGAGTACTTTTTAAATAAAAATAAAATAGTACAGTTCAATGGTGGAACATCAGCAGAAGTTTTATTTATTTGTTTATTTTAAGTTTTATTGGAAAATATAAATGTTAAAAATGGTTGGAAAATAGAGATGTAAACTTGAATGTCTGTTGAATCACGTTTTTACAGTGCACACGTTCATTTGTTGACTGAGAGATGAAGTGTGTGGAGGTGCTCGTGGTTGGAGCAGGTGTGGTGGGTTTATCCACTGCTGTGTGTGTCGCTGAGACGCTTCCATATTGTTCTGTGATTGTTATTGCAATTGTAGTTTTCACCGGACACCACCGGTGAAGGAGCTGCAGGAATCGTCTTACCCAAAGAGTTTCCTGGTGAGAGGATGCCTCAAACCTGCCATTATATCATGTGTTTGGCATAATGCCTTTGGCATATTGTTTAGGACACCGATTTGTCAAATTGATTATTATTGTCTTACTAGAAATCCCTCTTGAACGGCAAAAGCGTTGGTTCAAGGAGTCATTCGATCATCTTCTGGCCATTGCAGATCCCCCGCAGATGCTGGCGTGTACTTGAGCTCCAAGTAAATCCCTGATAACAACAATAAGAAAAAAAAGCTAAAAGATGATACATTGAAGTGTGTTTCATCTCTCATAATCTCTACTTTGCTTCATCCTTAGGTACCAAATTTTTTAAGGATATTCCCTGCGACAAAAAGCCCTTTTGGTCAGATTTTGTATTTGGATTCAGATACATGATAGATCATGAAATGAAGCGTTTTCCTAATCATAAGTTTGGTCAAGCATTTACCACATTAAAGTGTGAATGTCTGAACTACTTGCCATGGTTAGAAAAAAGGTACTGTTTAAAGTTTTATAATATACTGTTTAAAGTTGGGCAATTATTAATTATAATTATTATTATTTTTTTTTTTATTGAATTATTTTTCAATTATTATGAAAAAATGTAAAGTTACACACTACCAGTCAAAAGTTTTTAAATAAAATCTCTTATGCTCACCAAAGGCTTAATTTCTTTGATCAAAAATACAGTTAAAATAGTAATATTGTGAAATATTATGACAATTTGAAAGAACTGTTTTCTATTGTAATATATTTTAAAATGTAATTTATTTCTGTGATGGTAAAGCTGAATTTTCAACAGTCATTACGCCAGTCTTCAGTGTCAATTTGATCACTTTTGCTGCATTGAAAAAGCATTAATTTCTTTATTTTCTTACCTCATACTTTTTAATGGTGGTGTATCATGGTTTTCACAAAAAAAAAAAAGACTGGAGTAATGGCTGCTAAAACGTCAGCTTTGAATCACAAGGAATCATTACATTTTGAAATATATTAAAATAGAAAACAGCTATTTTAAATTGAAATATATTAAAATAGAAAACAGCTATTTAAATTGTAATAATATTTCACAATATTACTTTTTACTGTATTTTTGATCACATAAATGCAACCTTGATGAACATTAGAAACTTCTTTCAGAAACATTGTAAAACTTTATTATTCCAAATTTTTTGACTGGTCGTGTAGTATAGACACACAAAAAATGCAATCATACAATTTATAAAAGAAATATAAAAACTACAGGATAATAGTAAGCATATAATAAATAAACCAGTGTTATATTTTCCACTAGGTTTAGAGCAGTTGGAGGTCAGATCATACATGAAAAGGTGACTGATCTTCGTAAACTGGCCCTGAATTACGATGCCATCATGAACTGCTCAGGCCTCGGCTCTCGTTTTTTGGTGAAATGATCCGCGGCGCTGACGCTCTCCAGACGCGGAGAAACTCCGCCTTTGTCCATAACCACTCCTCTAGCCCCAGCTGGCCTGCTTTGGCCCAAGGTTTTCGTCAAGCCAAAAAACCCGGGCCGTTGGCCCTGAGGAAGCACCGACGAAGCACGATCAAGCCCCGGAAGTGACAGTGGAAACTCGACTGGCCCTGGCACACACTAGCACGCCCGCTTTTGGCTGGACAGTAGGGATGGGCGATACCCCTAATTTTGTTTTCGATACGATACCGATATTTTTCAAGGCAGTATCGTCGATATCGATACCGATTCGATACTTCTCGTGTACTACTGATGAGAAATGGCACTTTAATCTTAATAACAGATAAATCTATCATCATTTTGCATCTAAAATGTTTAATGATTTCTGTATTATTCATTTTGTTTGATTTCTACATGCCCCTAATTAGTAGGTTGTTTTCAATATGGAAGTAGAATTTGTTTACAGAATCTAAATCTTGAGAAAGATAAATTATGTAAATTGTTTGATGTTGAAAGGCATTTTCATATGCCAGTTTAATATGCTGTGTTTGAAAATTGTCTTTATTTTTGCATTTCTGCTTGACTATTTTTAACTAATGTTAAATATGCTTTGAGTTTTATGCAGTTTATGTAGTCATTTATGCAGTTATGTTGCCTTTAACTAATGAATGACTTTTAACTTAAATTTACTGTATAATTTATATCTGATTGTCAGTGTAACACCAAACATACCAAAATATTGTTTTGACAAGAAAGTAACTGCTGTCGTGTCTTATTTCCCACAGAACAAAAGTACTCTTCATAAGTGTTAATGGATATCAGGTATTCACAAATGATCTCTAAATTCACTCATTTCATTACAGTTGCAATGTGATTGTCTAAAAATGATACAAGGAATTACCCATGCATTATAATTTGTAAGAAAGTCTGACATACTAGAGCAAAAAATATATATAAGGTCAAGTTATTAA